CAATGCCCCAGTCAAAGAACAACAAACAACCAGGGGGGGGGGGGCACATTCTCATCAACACTACCAGAGCGAGCAACTGTATATAAAGAGAGACCAAACTCCCCCCTGCTTCCTTGTAGCACTGATTATGTTACCTAGTGGGGGCATGAGAGGTCTGCAAGCGAACAACCCAGTTCCAAGAATACCGAGGACTCCACAGAAAGAGAAACTCAGATAAACAGGGATTAAGCCCAAACGATCAAGCAGACAACAGTACCCTAAAACACACACACACACACACACACACCCAAAGCGTCACAAGGGAAGCCACTACGTCGTATCCTTACCTCTTCAGAGACCCGTTTGTCCATGGCTCCCAGCATGGAGTGCAAGGCTCCTGGGAGGGAAGACAAGAGAAACGATCAAAATTGGGTGTCGCTCGGTTGAAGTGGCTGGCATTGCAATTTCATGGTTCGCAGACCGTCCTCGACTAACAACTGTTCATTTAGGGACCATTCAAAGTTACCACAGCACTGGAAAAAAAAGTGATTGATGACAAGTTTTTCACCCCCTCCCCCTCCCTCTTGCTCATTTCAAAAAACCCTCCCCTTCTAGCACTGATGACGTTTCTTAGTTGGGTCATGCATGAAAACAACCCAGCTCAGAGAACACCAATTAAACCACTGAATTGAGAAAAACACAGATAAGCAGGAATTAACACCAGACAAATAATCCAGAACAACAGGTGATTTTAGAGACTGGTGGTGTCACACGCAAGACCAGGGGGGAAAAAGTTTGCAACAATCATGCTTTGGAAACACCAAACCCAGCTTGAGAAATCTCTCCTCCTTCGACCCCTAAATTTGGAGGGGCTTCCTTACCCAGATTGTAGAGGACGCAGGCCTGCTCGTATTTGATATCTTCATGAGTAACAGCTTTGCCGGAGAAGATCTCAGTCCTGAAACCAAGACAAAGACGAATCTGTCAATTGTGCCGCAAAAGATTCCAGCCCATGTTCCGTGGCCAGAGAACATACCATCGCCAGTGAGCTAGGTGAAGCCGGAATCGCGTCAGGACTGCGGGATTCGTAATGACACGCTGGCAAGAGAAGCAGCAAGCTCAGAGAGCCCCCAAGGACCCCAAAGAATGAGAAACCCAGAGAAGCAGGGATTGACACCAGACAAATAAATCAGGGAGGAAAACAAAATTGTGATCAAGGAACTACCAAGGGGGGAAAAATTCCCAGCATTCCCAGCAACACTGGCAGGGCAGCCACTCATACATAAACAAGAAAGCAAACACCAGTCGCTTCTATGATTGACGATGTTCCCTAGCTGGGTCATAAAACATCCACAAGAAAACCGCCCAGTGAGGGGGCACCAAGGACCCTTCAGAATGAGGAAATGCAGATAAGCAGGGATAAACACCAGACAAACAAACTGGAGGAAAATAATATTGTGATCAAGGAGCTACAAGTGGGGGGGGGGGGGAACAAAAAAAACAACCACAGTCCCACCAACACTTCCAGGACAGGCAACTGCATTTAAACAGACAGCAAATTCCCCCACTTCCTTCTAGCATTGATGACGTTAGCCAGCCAGGTCACAAAATGTCTGCAGGAACAGAGAACACCAAGTCCCAGGTCAGAGAACACCAAGGACCCAACAGTTCTTTTTCTCCTCCTCCTCCCTGCAAACCCCACTCCCTGCGAGCACTAAAGAAGTTACTTAGTTGGGTCATGAAACGTCTTTAAGAAAACCACTAAATTCAGAGAGCACCAAGAGCCCCCAGAATCCTTCTCCTCAAACTTAGGATGGTACCTAATTGATCATGAAACGTCTCCAAGAAAAACCACTCAGCTCAGAGAGCACTGAGGAAATCCGGAGCTACAAATATGGTCTTCCATCAAACTAAATTAGTAAACTGGGTGTCCAGCCAGAGGATTTGGGGAAGAAAATTCAAACATGCCTCGTACTAGGGATAGACAGCTTCACCATCAGATGGATTCGCAACTGGCTGACAAACCGTACTCAACGATTACTCCTTAATGGTCCAAGTCTACATGGAGAAAAGTAAGCAGTGGGGTACCACAAGGTTCAGTACTCTTCAATATCTTTGTAAACGACTTAGATGAGGGAATAGAAAGAGAACTCACCAAATTTGCAGGGGATACTAAGCTGGCAGGGATAGCTAACACCCTAGATGATAGGCTCAAGATCCAGAGGGATCTCGACAGACTTGAACCCTGGGCCCTATCTAACAAAATGAAGTTCAATGTAGAGAAAAGTAAAGTCCTACACTTTGGTAAGAAAAACCAAAAGTATACCTATAAACTGGGTGAAACCAGGCTTAATAGCAGTGACTGTGAGNACAATCCTTAATCCTTAACCCTCACCCTCACCCCTAATCCTAGCTCCTAACCTTTAACCTTAGTCCCTTAACCTCTAACCCTTAATTCTAATCCTAATCCTTAAATCTCCACCCTCACCACCCTTAACCTTAACCCTAACAATCCTTAATCCTTAACCCTCACCCTAATCCTTAATCCTAGCTCCTAACCTTTAACCTTAATCCCTTACCCTTAACCTCTAACCTGCACCCTTAATTCTAATCCTAATTCTCAAATCTCAACCCTCACCACCCTAATCCGAACAATCTTTAACCCTCACCCTAATCCTTAATCCTGAACCCTAATCCTAACCCTTAACCTTCCAGGGTACCCATACCAAATTTTACTCACAGTGCCTTTTGGGTCCATCTGGGAGGAAGAACCACTTGGGGGGAGAGGGGAACAGGGCAGAATCGTAACGGGGGAAGTGGGGGCTGGATCCTTACCCTCTGAGAGGCTGGGGGAAGGCAGGGTGGCCTTGACTCCCTCCAAGGGCCCGCTGAGGAGCCGGAGGTTGGTGATGTGGAGGTTCATGGCTTTGTGGAGCTCGGTGTTGGTGAAGCTGGCCTTCTGGTGGACCTCCAGGTATTTGGCCCACTCCTTGGACACTTCGGCCACCCCACCAGTAGAGGGGACCGCGGGGTCTGGGGGAGATGGATGGGCCTTGCCCAGGGTCTCCTGAAGCTTCTGCTCCTCGCTCTCGTCTTCCTCCAGCAGGTCCTTGATGTCCTTCAGGGAGGCTTCCACATCAGTGAAGACCCCGGAGAGGACTACGGGAGGGCGAGAGGAGAGGAGGAGGAGGGGAACGGAGGAAGGGAGGGAGGAAGGGGAAAAAAGAGGGATAGGGGAGGGATGGTGGAAAAGGAATAGAGAAGGAGAGGGGAGGGAGGGAGGAAGAAAGAAAGAAAAGAAAGAATGAATGAAAGAGGAGAAAGAAGAAACGAGAGAAAAGAGAAAGGAGAAACAAAGATGAAAGGAAATGGAAAAAGAAATAGAAAGAAAAAAGACAAGTAAAAGAAAAAGGAGAGAACAAGTGAAAAAAGATAGAGAAAAAGATAGGTAAAAGAGAAAGAAAAGTAGAAAAAGAAAAAAGGGAAAGAAGAAAAAAGAAAAGATGAAAGAAAGAAAAAGAAAAAAGAATAAGGAAGGGTAAAGAGAAAGAAAGAAAAAGAAAGAAAAGAGAAAAAGGAGAGGAGGAAGGAAGGAAGGAAAGAAAAAGGAAGGAAGGAAGGATTAATGGAAGGTTCCAAATGTCCAATCAGCTAGTCCTCAGTTTTCTCTAAGCTTATTTCTTTTCCTCGCCCCCACCTATGTCAGGCCCAGAAGAGCCCACTAGGCAGAGAAGACAACGAACCCACCAACTGAGCACCCCCTTTTGGGGAAGAGGAGGTGGGAAGGCAAACTGAAATCCCCCTCCTCTCCCCATGGCAGGAATTGTCCTTTGGGACCCCTTACCTTGCATAGATTGGACCAGGTTTTTCACAGTCTCTGGGCGTACGCTGAGCGCCGCGCATTTCTCCATCAAGACGGGCGGGATGTGGTCGTACACCTCCAAATTGTCCACCGTCTCAGGGTCCAGCTGCAGGGAGTCCATGAACTGCCTGCCACGGGACGAAACTCAGTTTAGGACGTTTTGGGTGGGCCTTCCTCGACTTATGACTGCCGTTCCATCGCTAAGTGAGATGTTGGTGAGAAGCAACTTTCACCCCTTGACAACAGCATCACTCCCTCTCTCTCTCTCTCTCTCTCTCTCTCTCTCTCTGTGCTTAAGCAACTCTCTGTGCTCATGAAATGTTAGTTGTGACAGTCGTTAAACGAATCAGGCTCTCCCCCTGACTTGAATCGTTGTAACTGTGAGCCGCTGCCAAGCATCAGGAGTTTGGATCACGGGAAGGTGGGGACACCAGAACAGACATAAGGGCGAAATACGGCCCTTCTCCCTTCTGGACCATTGTAATTTCAAACCGTCACTAAGTGAACCATCGTAACATGAGGACTCTCTCTGTGCACCTGCCCATCGGAAGTCGCTCAAATGTTCTCAGAATACTTTACCCAATTTGTTGGATTTGCCCAACACACACAGATAGTACTCAACATGACGGTTGTCGAGCCCCCAAATTTCCAAGACAATTCTTAAGTGAATTTTGTCCCGTTTTATGACTTTTCTTGCCACTATCGTTAAGTGAATTGCTCGCAGTTAAATCAGCAGAGGGAGGTCCCCGACTTACAACAGTTTGCATTTAGTGACTGCTCAAAGTGTCAACGGCATAGGGGAAAAAGCAATTTATGACCATTTTCACACTTACGACATTGGACCATCAAAATTTAGATGCTTAAGATCCCGATTCATATTTACGACGGTCGCAGTGCCTGGGGTCACACAGGGAAGCCAGATTTGCTTAACAACTGGGTAACTCGCTTATCAACCGCAGCGATCTACTTAACAACGGTAGACAGAAAGGACGTAAAATGGAGCAAAACTCCTTTTTACCAATGTCTCACAGCCCCAGAAATGTTGGCCTCCAGGACGGTCGTAACGTCGAGGACCACCTACATCAAGGTTGTTAACTGAATCGGAGGCTTCCCTCGTCGGAAGGTCACCAAAAGGGGATGGCTTGAGCCCGGGACGCTGCAACCGTCATAAATACAAGTCGGTCATCAAATGTGTGAATTTGGATGATGTGATACAAAGACGCTGTATGGAAAATGGTCCTTTTTTCAGTGCCGTCGTAACTTTGAACCGTCACTAAGTGAACAAAAGACTCCCCAGCCAAGAATCCCTCCTCTTCCTTCCCCACTCTGCATCATGGGCTTTGTGATCCCCCATCCCACCCCAACCCGGGATGGAAACATACATACTCGAGAATCTCGTTCTTGGCGTCGATCTTGGCCATGACGTCCCTCAACAGCTTGGCTTTCTCCTCGCTGAGGACCAGAAACCGTGTGAAGAAGACGACGAAGATCAATTAGACAGGAGGAGGAAGAAGAAAAAGAATTAGAATTAGAGGAATATAATGAAGAATTAGAAGAATTTAATGAAGTAAAAGAATTAGAACGAAGAATTAGAAATAATCAGAAGTATTTAAAGTAGAAAAAGAAGAATTTAAACAAATTAATGAAAAAGGAATTAGAAGAATTTAATGAATTAAAAAAAATAACGAAGAATTAGAATTAGAATAATTAAGAGGAGGAGGAAAACCTGAGGTGGACAATCTTTCCAGATGGAGAAGACAACTTAGCTTCTCCATCATCATCAAGGACGGGCCTCCTTGAGACCTTCCACTGACAAAATCAGAACCCGGAGCTGAGCCAAGATTCTACTGTGCTTCTCAAGGATGGACCTCCCATCCAGGTGGTCCATCTGCCCTCCTGAGAAGCTTCTAGAAGCTGATGAAGAATGCAGAAGAGCGGACACTTCTGGAGATCTCTTGGGTGGTACACTCAACGCTGGCCGGTCCTTGGCAGTCTCTGAGCTGGGTGGTTTTGTTGCAGAAATCTCATGATCCAACTAGGAACGTCATCAGTCAGTGGTTTCTAGCATTGATGATGTTCCCTAGTTGGGTCATGAAATGTCTCCAAGAACAGCCCCAAGCTCACAGACCACCAAGGACCCCGTCGTCCTCCTCCCCCTCCTCCCCTTTTCCTTCTCTCTTCTCCTCCTCCTTTTTCTCCTCTCCTTCCTCCCCTTCTCTCCTCCTCCTCCCTTCCTCCTTCTCCTCTCCTTCCATCTCCTCCTGCCCCTCCTCCATCTCCTTCTTCCCCTCCCCTTCCTCAATCCCCCCCCTTCCAAACTCCATTCCCTTCTAGCACTGATGACATTCCTTAGCTGGGTCACGAGACGTCCACAAGGAAACCAACAAGTTCAGAGAGCACCAAGGACCCTCCCAGTTCAACCCCCAGCTATAAATACTCTCTTCCCTTGGTACGTAGAACGCCGCTCTTGCGGGAACTGCAATTGGGCTCCCGATTCGCTTCCATGTCTTAATTCCACCTTTTGGTGATCACCTCAACGGCTTTGGAGACAACCGTCCCCGATAGGAGTTAACTGCATTGGTCCCCCAGCCTTGCCCATTGAAAGGGGGTTCCGCTCTGGTCCGCTTCACCTGCCTACCTGTAGAGCGAAGAGGCTTCGTGGGCAGCCATTGGCACCAGTTTGGCGAAAATGTCAGGGCCAGTTACGGCTGGATCGGTGGGGTTGACGGGGAGCGCTTTCACCAACGACGCCCCTGGTGGGAAGGAATGGCAATGACAGAGATTACCCATAAGCCCCCACTCCCACCCGAGACCCCCGTAATAGTGGGGAGGGGTCAGCCTGCGAACCAGCCCTGAATTCCACCCATCTTAAAGAAGGATTCTGGGAGCTGAAGTCCTCCCCTCTTAAAGCAACCCACCCCCCACTACCTTTAATAGACTGCAAGGTATCCAGCGCGGGGACGGCCTCGTGGTAGATAAAGTCGTTATCTTTTTTGGATGAATTATACCTAAGGAGAAAGAAGAGGTCACCCTTTCTTGCCACCGTTGTTAAGTGAACCACTGCCTTTGAAAAACGAACCAGTGAATCTGGCTTCAGAAGGTTGCAAAAGGGGATCATCCTGACCCCCGGGATACTGTGACCGTCATAAATATGAGTCAGTTACCCAAGCATCAGAATTTCAATCACATAACCACTGGGACGTGGCAAGGGTTGTGAGGAAAACATGCAAAAGTCACTTATTTCAGGGCTGTTGTAACTTTGAACGGTCACTAAACGAAGCCGAGCGCTACCTGTACTTAGAAGGGAGGGGGGTTGCATGGGGGGGGAAGTACAAAAATGGGGTGACCCCCCCCCCACCCTCAGCAGCCACTCACTTCCCTCCGATGACATCCATGGTGAATCTCAGAGCCTCCTGAACAGTTTCGGGCTGGCCCTGCAAGAGACGGACGGTTGGAAATGTTTCAAATTCTGCATTTTATTTTATGGATAGGGATAAACTCTCTATACATCTACCTCATCCTATCTGCTGGAGATCTTAACACAACTTTAGTGGTTGATTTCTACAATTGGTTTGTGTGTGTGTGTGTACGCGCGCACACACACACACACAAACACATATGTATGTGTGTGTGTGTATATATATATACATATATATATATATATATATATACATATATATATACATATATATACATATATATATAACATATATATATGTATATATATATATACATACATATATACATACATATACACACACACACACATACACACACACACACCTATTTTTCTTCACACCTCACTAGCTCAATTCAAAGATATTTATCAAAGGTAAATTCTAAGATATGCATCAATAGGTCAATTCAGAGCTCTTCCATCACGGATAAACCCAAAGACATTTATCCTAGACGTTTATTACAGATCAATTGAGAGATATCCGCAAATTAATAAATCCAAAGATATTTATCTCTCTGCCAACGCTTTGTTACCCAGCTAGGTAACATCTTTAGCACTGATGGTGTCACCTAATTGGGTACTAAAACGTCTGCAAGAGCCGAGGTGGCGCAGTGGTTAGAGTGCAGCACTGCAGGCTACTTCAGCTGACTGCAGTTCTGCAGTTCGGCGGTTCAAATCTCACCGGCTCAGGGTTGACTCAGCCTTCCATCCTTCCGAGGTGGGTAAAATGAGGACCCGGATTGTTGTTGTTTGGGGCGATATGCTGTCTCTGTAAACCGCTTAGAGAGGGCTGTAAAAGCACTATGAAGCGGTATATAAGTCTAACTGCTATTGCTATTGCAAGAAAACCACTGCAAGTTCAGAGAGCCCCAAGCACCCCACAATCTTTTTTCTCCTCCTCCTCTCCACAAGCCCCTCTCCCTTCTGGCCTGTGTCATCTTTCCTCCTCCCCCTCCTCTTCCTCCGTTCTAACGACTGATGCTGATCCCTACTTGGGTCATGAAATCTCCGCAAAGACACCGCAAGGAGATTCCTGGGGGAGGCCAAAGAACCCCATCCTCCCATGGAGCTCCATTTATTCCCTCATAATTAAATTGATCATCCGATCGTTCAGAATGAAGCAGCTCAATTTTAAAACCCCAAACTTTGACATTACACCCGAACACACAAATACACACCAGGCAGAAAGTGGGGTGAAGGGAGGGAGGGCTCGAGGAAGAAGGAAGGAAGCCTTACCTTGGCCAATCGGATGGCTTCGTTGAGTTTATCCAAGGCGCTCTGGAAGTAGGTGACCTGCAAAGGGATCAGGGATTCGATCAGCTGGTTTTTTCCAAACCAGGTTTGTTTTTTCAAACCAGGTTTTTTTTTGGGGGGGTAGTCTCTCTGCTCAGGGGGCCTGCTGGAAAGAGAAGATCCAACACCCGCATGGCGGTGGCCTTGGGCGCTATGTTTTTCCAACTGGTCAGGAAGTCCTCGACTTACCACCATCGGGGCCCAATTTCCCGTTGCTGAGCGAGACATGGGTTAAATGAATTTCACCCCTATTTTGTAACTGGTCAGAAAGCCATGATTGACGGTTCCCCACAAGTTTCACGGCAGAGAGGGTTGAAGGACCCGCCCACTGGAGCTGTCAATCAAAGCCAGGAGACGCCCCCCCCCCCATCCACCAGCCCAAGGGATTAGATTTTGGGGAAGGGTCTGGCCAACTTACCCGCTCACCGTACTTCTGCTGCTCCTCTGCCTGTTTTCCCATGTGTAACTGTGGGGAGGGAGCGAGGGAGGATGGAAAAGAGAAAGAGGAAAGGGAGGGAGGAGATAAAACAGGGAGGGAGGGAGGAGGAAAAAGGAAGAAGGGAAGGAAGAGAGAGAGAGGAGGGAGGGTTAAAGGAAGCAGAAAAAAAGGAAGGGAAAGAGGGGGGAAGAAAGGAAAAAAGGAAGCAGAAAAAAGAGGAGGAGGAAGGAAAGACGGGGAGGGAGGAAGGATGAAAAAGGGAAGGAGAAAAGGAAGAAAGACATCTTAAGTGCATCCCCAATAACACTGAATTCTGGGAGTTGAAGTCCACCCGCGTCTGAGGTGGGAAAACCCTGCTTTAGAGGTTGCAAAAGTACGACGCGGTCGGAGGAGATGCAGCCAATGGGGAGTCTCGATGCAAGAGGGTTGTATAAACACTAAATACTCACGTGGGCCACAGCAGCAAAATAATAGATCTTCATCTGCACAAGTTTCTTCCAGTCCTTCTGGATTTTCCCCAGCAGGGAGGCCGTGTCAGAGTTCTCCAAAGCGCGGCAGGCCTCTTTGTAGTAATCCACCACCTTGGGAGAGAGTTCAAATCCTGCTTCAAACATGAAAGACGCCTGAGGGACTTCCAGCCAGTCACCAGGAGACTGGGAATTCCAATCCCGCCTGAGGCAGGAAAGCCAGATGGGTGATTCTGGGCCAGTCCTTCTTTTTCAATCCCTCCCACCTCACAGGGTTGTTGTTGAAAGGAAAACCGGAGGAAGGAGGAGGTTAGGCATGTTCTCCTGTTTGACTTATGTATAAAATTACAGTACTAAACATGGAATATATATATAAGTAAAGTAAAAAAACAATAAATAAATAAATAAATCATATAAGAAAAAATAAAAATATAATCAAAGAAATAAAAGAAAAAAACAATATAAAAATTAATAAATTGAAATAAATTAATTAAAAAAATAAAAAATAAGTAAAATAAAAAATGAAATAAAGATAAAATAAAATGAAAGAAAACAAAAAATAAAATAAAATGGAGAAAAAATGGAGAGCTGTTGCCCCCCGCCTCGAATGGTATGACTGCTGTGTGTTTTTTAAATTATGTATTGTTATGTTCCGTCTTTTTTATTTCTTGTCTGTACCTCCCCTGATTTGAATTGTGAGCCATCCTGAGTCCCCCTTGGGGAAAAGGGCAGCATATAAATGTAATAAAATCAAATCAATCAAATTTAAATATGAGCCAGCCTTGTGCAGCAGCTGCCAAAAAAACCAAC